GTTGTTTATTCTCTGCCCTTTGCCTCATATTTCCCTCATCTGCGGCCTTTTAGTACTCGCTTGCTTCTAGAACTTTGTCTTATGTTTTGATTCTTTGAGTTGTATTGAGATGAGATTGCAGGTATTACTGAGATTTTCCTTCTGCTTCTCAGCGGCATCCTCAGTCATGTCCTCCAAACCCATAGATTTTGTAGTTATTCTGTTGAAGATTGCTGAAAAGCCCAGAATTTAAATTGGAAATTTTTTTTTGAAATACTGAAATTTTTTGGGAATTTTATTAGATTTTTTTCGAAATTGAAACTTTTTTAGAATTTAAAATGTATTTGAATTTTTTTTGAAATTTTAAAGAGGAAATTGAAATTTTTTATTAGAATTTAAATTGGAAAAAATACCCCCAAGTGTCCCAATTAGTTCACTTCCTCGACGCCTTGTAATATCTGGAACCGTGAATCCAAAATTTTTTTTTTGATCCCTTAATCAGAGTTGTTGATCCGGGATTGCCTGTGTCAGCTGTGCAAGCTTCAGCCTGTTTTGCCATTATAGCAATGGATGCGCGAGTTGCAAACTCGTAGTCGATACAAAATACGGCGATTTGCGATGCACAGCGAAAGTCTGTTTTTCCTGTGTGCAGCCGATGACCGATGGTGCCGAGCGTATGGCGTCAGTTCGGAAGGAATCCATTGCACAGCATTTGTTCGAGTCTATGATTACAAGGTGAGAAAATACACTATGTGGCCTCCTTTTTCGTCGCCTTATTTGGTTCTGATCAACTTCGTTTCACGTGGCACACCGTGAAACAACAGTTGTCGACGCGGCTGATGACCAAACTTAACTAAAACTGATCTCTGGTCACAATGCTGCTGGTGATTCTACTGTACTTCCCCTGGAAATACCAGAGATTAGAGATTCTCTATTCCCTAGTTTTCTAAAAAACTAGAGATTCTCTATTCCCCTAACGAGGCGCTTATATAACTGGCAGTTTGATTTATTTATGATAATTTGGCTTATAGACTTGCTACAATTAGCATTTTTGTATTGTCAAATCATCTGTGGAGGTTAGAAGACAAAAATGTAAATATGAGCTCATTTTTATGCGTTTCGCGCTGTGTAGTAGCAGTACAAAATGCATATTGTCACGCCCCTATCTGTATATGTGAATGTGTGTGTGTGCGTGTGTGTGTGTGTGCCCGACCACTCGGGAACCAAAAAAGCTGGAAGGCTGAAATTTTAGTAGAATGCCCTTCGCCCACTTGCGACTCCGCAGAATTAAATTCAGCCTTCTCGTGCGCTTAGGTATCGCCTGTGGCTCCGTGAAAGTTTTGGCGAGAAAAATTATTGTCTCGAGAACCAGACGAGCTGTAAGGCTGTTATATCAGGAAAACGTTTTTTGCCCATACAGAGACCTCACATACTCAAGGTTAGCTTCTAAGCATGCCTAGGATTCACTTACTACCAGATGAGAGTTTTGACACGGAAGTCACTAGTTCGGGAACCAGAAGGCTTAGATGTTGAAATTTTGGAAGGATGTTCCCATCCAAAGTTTTAGAATCAACTTTCACACTTACTCTTACGTTCCGTGCACCAGTACATGAAATTTTTTTAGTAAAAAAATTTTAGTAAAAAATTTCACAGTACATGAAATTTTTAGTAAAAAATTTCACAGTTTAGGAGGAGCCAGACAACATACTGACTATTTTTTTCATAAGTAAGACAGCGAAAACTTTTAAAAGACAAACTTTCGCTGAACGGAACGACGCAAAACACATGATCGGCACCACTGTTTATTTATTTATTTTTGAAAATTATTGTTGCCATATCGCTTTTCACTCATATCTTTTGATAATAATTAATTAACGGTGACCTTATTAAAATTTATCAATTATAAAAATAGACCGAATTTTGAGGCTGCGATCAAACAAGGTCATGAATGTGGAACAACTTGAAAATGCCTGTATTGTCGTTGTAAAAATAATCATTGTATTGTCATTGTAAAATTTGTATTTGTATTGCTGCATGATTTTTATTAGAGCAAATTTTTTGTATGGATCAGAAAAATTTTATTTCAGCGAGTTTTACGGCAAGAAACTTCGA